AACCCGGCGAAACGTTTGTATCGACCTGCTCATCTTAAAACGTCCACAAAGAAAGGGACTTACTCTTACGGTTCGTTAAAGTTCATGTCTCTTTTGTAAATGAGTCCTCGGGACTCAATTGGACTAACCTGTATCAATAAAGGCTGAATGTGAGCGGCTGTGTGACGCTTCAGGAGCAAGAGTGATAAAAGCTTGCCACTTTAGGAAGGTTGCAAAATCTTGAGACAAAACAGCAAAGTAGGCCTACTCAAACTACGTTTTTCCTGTTTAGCACTGTTTTTCTGTTCTGTTAATCCGATTTACTGTTTATTAGAAGTGTGTTAGTTTTAACTAAGTAATTTAATTAACCTTGTGTAAAATGAAGGAAACGTAGTAACATTAACACATATAAAGGAAATTGGTTCCAGTGTTGTTACAGGATGGTCTAAGACACCGTGTTTTTGTTTTCTTCCTTCTGAACGAAAATTAATAGGATTTATTTATCTACACATGGAGAAAAACATCATAAGAGTTGCAGCCTTGGTTTGTGATAACCAAAAAATGCTCTTTCAATGAGGAATATTAAAATCTACAGGCAAAGTGATGTTTAGTCGAAGTTTTGAAGGAATATTGCAACTTTTAAACTCTTATTGTCTTGCAGCTTAATTTCAGAAACCTATCGGTTGTCATTAGCAAACCTGGTGAACACAAGAAAAACCCCTCATTTTCGGACTCAGTACTCTTTAAATTCACACAAGCAACATTTTCTAACTTTTTATGATTCACGTTGTTTTACTGAAATGTCTAAACCTGAGCTAAAATTAACGTGCTCAATTCACTCAGCATTAGGTTTCTGTTTAGCTCAGAAATCATCACAAGAGGGGACTTCTAGTAAATTAATTACAACAAAACCAACTGTACACACTTTCAGCTTATCAAATAATAGCAGACACTCGTGGAAAAAAATATGAAAATAAAAATTTAGTTTAATGTACTGGCTATTCATACATACTTTATAACATTTTGTTGCCTTTTTATACTTTTATACAGTATTGCAAAAAACATTGAAACAATGCAAGATTTTAGTAATTTGTTTGTGTTTAAATCATCCATCCATCCATCCATCCATCCATTATCTTTACCCGCTTATTCCATTTTGGGTCACGGGGGTCGCTGGTGCCCATGTCCAGCAATCACTGTGCGAGGGGCGGGGTACACCCTGGACAGGTAGCAAGTCCATCACAGGGCCACATAGAGACAAACAAGACAAACAACCATTCACTCTCTCACTCGCACCTAGGGACAATTTAGAGTTACCAATCAGCCTAACATGCATGTTTTTGGTCTGTGGGAGGAAACTGGAGCACCCGGAGAAAACCCACGCATGCACGGAGAGAACATGCAAACTCCACCCAGAAAGGCCCCTGGACCGGGGTTTGAACCAAGGACCTGCTCGCTGAGAGGCAGCAGCTCTACCAGTTGCGCCACCGTGCTGCCGTTTTAAATAATTTAAAGTTCAATTTTTGTTTGCCAAATGAAACAACTGGTGCCGGATCAGAGCCTAAGATGAAGGACCACTGTTTGCATCCAGACTCATAAGGAAAATATCAGTATCTGAGAAAAATACACATCTCTTTAACTCTTTATCTTAAATAACGTTTAGATGTAAGCACAGTGACGGAAACAAATGTGTATTTGTTTTATATTTTAGCCATCCTACAACTTTTGAAGTAAATCTAGTGACTTGTACATTTGTCTCACTCTAATGACTCCTGGGGAAACCTGTATGTGTGTGTGTGTGTGTGCGTGTGTGCACGCATTTGAGTTTTTCATGAAACTGCAGTCAAGTATTAGTTTGGTGTGTAGTAGAGTTCTCTAGTTTCGCTGTATGTTCTTTTCTGCAATGTTAAGCACAGTGGAGAGCTGTATGTGGATCTCAGAAGATTCACACTCCTGGGCAGAAACCAACTGCTCTAAAGAGATATCCTGATGCATGCTCAATAATCCAGATAGAAAAATCTAAAAAAATCTAATCTAATCTAGTTAGAGAGTTTGAGAAAACAGCAAGGAAGAGGGCAGACTACAGGAACCATTTGCGATTCAACCTCAGATGTCGACAAAGTGGCATCATTCCCAAGAGCCTGGAACTAAAATCTTCGGT